TGGGTGGGGTTGAATCTCTAAGGGATGGGCCGCTTCCTCTCCCTAGAGCTCTGGGAAGGAGTAAGATGACCACCGTCCTGCGTGTCTACAACTCAGCAAAAACTCTGAGCGCCCTCCAAATCCTGAGTGTCCCCACACAGTTCCAGTCCAGTCTGCCCTCCCTCTGCCGGAGCCCAAGGTAAGTGGCTGTGGCTATTTTAACCTTTGTCCCGGCTCTGCGTTGTGGAGCCACTTGGGAGTTTAACCCGAGGGCGCTGCTCACAGCTAACGCAGCTGCTGATGGTGGCATTCCCAGCCCCCCTCTCGCGTCTCCACAAGCCTACCAGGATTGAGTCAGTGTTCCTGGTTATGTGGTCCTCCATCCTGCTGTTCTGTTGCCTTTTCCTGACGATTTGTCTTTATTTTTGTTGTAATTCCAGTTTGGTCCTGGGAGATGGTCTGTGTAGCTTCCATTCATACCACCACCATTTTGGAATCCTGAATGCTGCCTTGGATCTCCTGGGTGGCGAGGATGGGCTCTGCCAGTATAAGTGCAGTGATGGTGAGAGGGAACCCACACTGCCAGGCCCGCGCTGCCTGCGCTGCTGGGGGTTGGAGGGCTTCTACAGCAGTCCTTTTAGCATATCTTTCAGTGCTGGTGTCGTGTTAATATATTCCCTTAGCCTTTTTTTTTTTTTTTGTCTGGAAAGCTCTTTATTTGACCTTCTATTTTGAATGAAAACTTTGCTGGATAGAGTAATCTTGGATTCAGATCCTTGTTTCTCATGACCTTGCAAATCAATCACTTCTTCAACAGCTTTCCAGAACAAATTAAGTTCAAGAACCAAGGTTCCACTGTATCGGTCATGCTATTTTTAAAAAATATTTGTAGATAAGTTATAAGTTTTTTAAATGAGAACTTCCTCTTGGATTTTCATTAAACTTTAGAATCCCCCCCTAATGCTTTAATAATTCCCTGTTAAGTATAAAGTTACATTTTGTAATGGCATTTAGGCTATTTATCAAATTTGTGATGAAATTATTAGTCAATGCTACTCAAGGACCAAAATTCTTATTCCCCAAAGGTCTTTTGACAATTTATAAATATAAATGCGATTATACATTCTATTTTGACTCCAAGAAACAAAATTACAATAAGACTTACATACAGAAGTAAAGTATCCATTGAATATAGTAAAGCAGCATCACATGGGAAAATATAGTCATACAATTAGCTGTTACACTTTTTCAGGGTACAAACAAGCAGAGAAAATAATATTAAAAGTAAAAAATCACTACCAAAAACAGCATGAAGGTGAGACAATCATTTATTTATTAGATAGGGCAGGTCATTAAAAGAGAAGAATCATATTCAAAAGAATGTGCTTTGCTTGGTTTTACAGGCATTGATGCTCACAACAAACAACACTACTCAATACATCATGGAAACAGGCCACATACAACCAAGAAGGTGCTGTCATGTCACTGAAAAAGAAGATACAGTGCTTAGGAAACAATTGCTAGGGAGTTACAGAACATCATAGTCTCCAATTTGCTGATCTACATTTTCTGCTGCTGAGCCATTCGCCCATAGCATTTGGTTAAAAAGTGAGTTTTCCCATATTTGAGACCTTTCAATAGTGCAAACATCTGAATGCCACTGAAATCATAGTCATCTGCAGGCTGATCTAGCTCACATTACAGTTTTGAGACTTACCCTAGGTAGTCATGGACTGTCTCGTAGTATTATAAATAAAAATTGGACCTAGCCCAGTGAGTGTGGCTCAGCGGATTGAGCATCAACCCATGGACTGAGATGCCTCAGTTCGATTCCTGGTCAGGGCACATGCCCGGGTTGCGCGTTTGATCACCAGTAGGGGGTGTACAGGAGGCAGCTGATCAATGTTTCTCTCTCACATGGATGTTTCTCTTTCCCTTCCTTTCTTTCTAAAAAAATAATTTATAAAAACATATAAAATATTTGACCTAACCCATTTAGCACTGTTATGATGCACCCAAATCACCTTCAGATCTATAGTACATACTTGAAAAAGATAGCAGAAATTCACTAGAGGAAATCAAAGAAATTTGGGGAACTCACCTGGCCCAAGGTATATAAATAAGCTGCTAGCAAAGTGAGACACACACATGAAAACTACTATGTCAATTATTTGCCAAATTATTTTTGCTAAATCATTTTTAGCAGGACATTCCTGACTAGGCAGGCAGAGATTTTAGTATCCACTCTAGAAACTAACCAAAGTATTATAAGTAGTACATCATGAATATATGGTTATGAGGAAAAGATATTCAGCACAAGATTGGCTGAGAAATCTGTTACATATCTGACCCTCCATCTTTATATCCACTGATTTTGCCAACCATTTCCTTTCACAGCATTCAGTTCTCAAGATGAGAAGTTCTCACTCCACATAGGACAAAACCCTATTTGGGAAGCCAGTCATGAAAGACCAGATATTGCATGAGTTCATTTATATTAATTGACCAGAATAGACAAATCATAGAAGTTGAAAGTAGATTAGTGGTTGCTTGGGTCTGGGAGGCATTGGGGAAAAATGAAATATAAATGCCAAAAGGTACAGGGTTTATTTTTGTTCCCAAGTTGACTGTGTTCATGGTTGCACAACTTGTGACTGTATTATACAACCACTGAATTGTACCTTTCAAATGGGTGAATTGTAAGGTATGTGGATTATATCTTAATAAAGTTGTTATAAAAACATACTAGGAAAGACAGCCTCATGAGAGAAGAAAACAAGAGGCTTTTGCAAATCCAGTCATATCTGAGGAAACGGTATACTTAAAGCCTGATTTAAGGAGCTGGTGTCTCACACACTAGTTTGGTTTTATTATCACCACTTTTTTTTTTTATCCTCACCCGAGGACATTTTCCCATTTTTTTTGTTCAGGTAGAGTGGGAGGGAGAGAGGGGAACAGAGAGAGAGAGAGAAACATTGATGTGAAAGGAACACATCGAGTGGCTGCCACACGCACGACCGACCAGGGCCGGGGACAAACTGCAACCAAGGTACGTGCCCTTAGCAGGAACCGAACCCGGGTCTCTCTGGACCGCAGGCCGACGCTCTAACCGCTGAGCCAAACTGGCCAGGGCTATTATCACCACTTTTAATCTCCAAATTCAAATTTTTAACTCATATCTAAATTATTTTAGGTTACCAGATATTTATAACTTTGTTCTCCTTAGATAGCAGAATCAGTGTTCCACAGAAATGAGGTTAGCAAAACAAAGCTATACAAAAGAACAATAAAAACCCAATTTAAAAACTACTCTCCTGCTTTGGAGCTGTGCATTGCAAGGCATAATAGAAGAATGGAGGTTCATTTCTAATGAAAAAAATTCCATTAAATGCAAGGGCATCATATGACTCTTGCCTAAAGCACATTTCCTTTTCAAATCTGCATAGTTATTCCCTTTACATCTATACAATTCAACATAACCAATGTTTATATACATACATAGAATTCAATGAAAGCAATGTTCTCTATAAAGAAATGTTAAGCTTTTTTTACAGATCAAAGAGCTAGCCAAATTTCCTTAAAACTAAAATTACTGTTTCTAAGAAGTACAGTTCCATATCCTCATCCTCATAAAACTAAAATTAGTATTTCTAAAAAAGTTCTACTCTGTATCCTCATCCATTAACATTCCATGATGATGGAAAACTCAAAGCCTGCTACAAGTCAGAAGCTACAAAACAATTTCTTGAAGACCTTGATTTAAAAAAAAAAATAAAGATATTAATTGCAAATATTTAGAACATATCAGGCCAAATTCCTTCATGAGAAGTTTATTTTTTTTTTTACTAGTATAGTATGCAATAAAATAACAGACTTTGAATAAGATGAACTGGCTAGTGACAAGTAATCAGTTTTTCTCTGTAATTACTATTCTTCTACATAGGCAGTGTAATTCTTCAACTATTCTTATACTACATAACCAGTTAGGGAAATTTTTATAGTTAAATGAAGAGAACACAAGTAGCTTTACAGCAAGTTGAGTTTGTTAAATATATTTATAAAAAAGAATTTCTGGCACAAAAATTGCTCACTGCACACAGAATGCTCAAGAAGTTATAAAACAAGACAGCTGATGTTAGAAGGTACTGGGAAGTCAGGTGGGGTGAGAAGTCACGGATAAATTAAAAACTGGCAAATATCTGCTGAAGCAGAGCCACTTTTTAGGGGACATGAGAAAAAAATGATGTCACCTTTTTATATCTCTTTAGAGAAATTCATTTGTTGTTAAGAAATGAAGACCATTTTACTATCATTCATGCTGCAAAATGCAGTAGTCACACTGTTTCCAAAAGGATCCTAAAAATGTAGTGCAAAATAAAAGAAATCTAAGAAAATAATTACAAAAAAACTTTTCCAAAGAAATGTGTTCAAAACAGTGACTCATAAAATATGTCAATTTGTTGTAAATGATAAAAAAAATTCTCTCTATGAAAGATCAAAGACTAATTTCACAAATAATTTATACTGCATCAATAACTTGATGTCCATTACAGCACTATTTACAATAGCCAACCTAAGGAAACAGCCCAAATACCCATTAGTAAATGAGTGAATAAAAAAAGCTGTGGTACATTTACAAAATGGCATACTACTTGGCCATAAAAAATAAGAAAATCTTGCCTTTTGCAACAACATGGATGGACCTGGAGAGTATTATGTTAAGTGAAATTAGCCAGTCAGAGAAAGACAAGTACCATATGATTTCACTTATATGTGGAATCTAATTAACAAAATAAACTAACAAACAAAATGGAAATAGACTCATAGACACAGAGAACATTATAGTGATTACCAGAGGGTGAGTAGGGTATGGGAGGTAGAAGAAGGTAAAGGGGGATAAATGGTGATGGAAGGAGACTTGACTTGGGGTGGTGAATGCACAATACAATATACAGATGATGTATTATAAAATTGTACAACTGAAACCTATATAATTCTATTAATCAATGTCACCCCAATAAATTCAATTAAAAAAAATAAATAAATCTTGACATTCTCCCCCCAAAAATAATAGTTTGATTACAGTGTACAAACAAGGGCCACAGACTTTTTTAGTTAGGTCTAAAAGATCAATATAAATATTGATGAGGGAGTGTTTTATACCCCAAACTCCATTATTCCAGCTCTGTGTCCTGTACCATTGTTATGATTTGCAAAAATCTTAACGACGTAGTGATTCAAGTTTTCGTATCTTCAATGATGTGTTAGAGGACAATGCATCTTGGTTTGAAGAATTTGTTGTATCTGAAGGCCGGAACAGTACTCTACCACGGTGATTAAATACATAAAATGATGGGTGATTCCTTAATGTGTCGAATGTCCTTAAAAGAAAAAAAGCATCAATTTTAGATAAACCCTGATAAAAGCCTATTTGAAAATAAGCAGGCTTCTGATGAATTTGCTATGGGTTATATTTTAAACTATGTTTAAATCTATGAAATCAGACCATAAGTAGTAATCATACTGTACGTCCTTTTTTTCCTGTATAAGGAAAATAAGAAACCTGGAAAAGCAACATATAGCCTTAGATTTTTTTATTCAGCCAGTCCTTCCAGCATGCCTATGAATAATACAATTGCTGCCCTGGCCAGTTTGGCTCAGTGGTTAGAGTGTCGGCCTGCGGTCCGGAAAGACCCAGGTTCGGTTCCTGCTAAGGGCACGTACTTCGGTTGCAGTTTGTCCCTGGCCCTGGTTGGTCGTGCGGGTGGCAGCCACTCGATGTGTCCCTTCACGTTGATGTTTCTCTCTCTCTCTCCCTTCCTCTCTCTCCTTCCCACTCTATCTGTACAAAAAATGGAAAAATATCCTCGGGTGAGGATTAAAAAAAAATAAAAATAAAAAAATAATACAATTGCTCAACTTTAATCACCTCTGTAGATACAACATAAGCCCATGCCAAATAGTCTTTTTTAAAAACCAGTACAGAGATTGTAGCTTTGATTATTCTCATTTGGCCCTCACTATTCAAGTCATATGATCATTTGAAAGATTTGTTTTCTAAGAATCTTTCAAGTATAACAAAAAAAGTCCTTAAATTACTTTGGTCTTTCTGTACCTGCCATTGTCCAAACTCATATTTTCTACCACTTCATAAATTCATATTTTATTATCACCTACTTAATGCCATTCTGTTTCACTTCTTTCTTTCATGGACCTTTGCCTGTGATTCTTAGTAGACTTTGTAAGAACAGTAGTGGGTGATGATAATGGGAGTATCCTTTCTTCTCCAGTGAGAGATATATGGTCTAAAAACAAGTTCACAAACACCTTACGTGTATGGCTTTTAGTGTTGGTTTGTTTCTAAACATGATTTTCCTGGAAAAAAATTCTTCCTTTGATAAAAACTCAAATTTCAAAGTCAACCCACCTAAAAATCCAAGCATATCCCCACATAAAACAGAAAGTGTGAGATGCAACTATTTAAAATGTAAAGTAAAAAGAGGGCGAGTTTCTTCTAGCACATACATGTTTATTGTGAATCTTCCTAAGAAAATATTGTCAAGGATTACATTTTCCAGAATCAAAAAAGTGGGTAAAGTCCAGAGATATAATTAAACAAAGCTAAAGGATATTTTATAAAAGTAAGAAATATCGGCCCAGCCAGTGTGGCTCATTTGGTTGGGTGTTATCCCATACACGGAAATGTTATTGGTTCGATTCCCAGGGCACACGCCCAGATTACGGTCTCAATCCCTGGTGGGGGGAATGCAAGAGCAGCCAACTGGTGTTTCACTTTCACATCAATGTTTCTCTCTCTTCCACTCCCTTCCTCTCTCTCTAAAAATTAATTAAAATCTTTTAAAAAAATGAAAAGAAAAGCTCATGAAAATACCTTAGAAGACTTACAGGAGAAAAAAAAAGCAGAATAACAAATACACTTTATTCCAGGGATGGAAAAGTGCCTGAGAACAGAGTTTATGTCACAGACTAGGTTCAAGTGATAGAGGAAACAGAAAATGCCTTACTCTTCCAAAGACTAAGCTGGGAGAGAGGAAAAAGGGATGGAAAAAGGAAGGAAGGAGAGGGAGGGACAGAAGAAAAAAAAATTTCTAAGGGAATATCTTCCTATATATCTATTTCCATCTACCTGTCCATCCAACCAACCAATAAGTAATTTTAAGCAACCATAACATCTTATTCTAATGTCAATAATATGTCATTCAACTTCCATTTTTTCTATCATATCAAACACTACCTCAATATTTTTACTTCATTATTCAGACAGATTGTATAATCAAATTGTAAAAACCGACTTTTAACTACCAGAACACACACATTTATGTAAATGAAGCAAAAACCCCTAAGAAATTAAATGTCTATGAAAAGGGGAAAACTTACTTATTTTTTAGTTCTGAAGTGGCATCCATGTCTTTAAACTCCCCTGCAATATGAACTATACCATAACAGGTAACTGCAAAGGCCAGAAGTGTCTGAAGAACTATCTGTGAGTATAAAAATTAAAGATTACTAAATAAATACAAATATTATAAAATTTTACAATTTTCTCTCCATTTCTTTTTATCCTTTAACAGGTATTTCTCCCAGATCCTATCAAGGAGTCAATTCTCAGTTTAAAGGATTTGGATTTAAACACCATAAAATCTTCTATCAATTCTCTGGATTGGCTACAAAATTATTTGTGGGTTTTGCTCAAATAGCAAACACAGGTACTGAGCTATTCAAAACTCAGTTATCAACTACTATTTGCGTCCAAGAGCAACTAAGAGTTTTTAAATGTATTATTGTTAAATATCAGAGTATAAAAAGAACACCTCTTACCCACCACCCAGCTTAAGAAACAGAACATTACCAGTAACTTTCAAGTCTCATGAGTCCCTCTGCAATGATATTCTTCACCTTCCCTCTCAAGGTTTACTGTCCCAAATTGTGTATTAACCAGTTCTTTCCCTTTCTTTATAATTTTACCAGCTATGTGTGTACCTTTAAAACATATATTGCCTACTTTTTCATATTTTGAAAAACTTTTGGTGAGATTCATCCCTGTTGTAGTATATAGCTATAATCCATTAATTTTCATTGTCTTTTATTCCACTACATGAAAATACCACAATTTATCCATTCCACTTTTGATGGTTATATGGGATGTTTCCTGTGTGTTACTTTTACTATGTCAAAATGGATGTCCTTGTGTATATCTCCTGGTGCATGTAAGTAGAATCACTGGTGTAGAGTGTACACACATTCAACTTTATTAAGTAATATTAAACTGCTTTCCAAAAACGTTGTGCAAGCAAAAACTTGCATGCTTGACATTAACTGACATGAGATTACAGGCATATTTTATTTTCTTGATTGTGATTTTATCTATTTTTAAATAGATATAAATGAATGTGTGTACATCTATCACAAAGCAAAAGTGACATGAGAAAGAATTAATAACCACATCTACCATTTCCTTAATCATAGAAAACTAATGTCAAAATTAGCCACAAGCTATTATTGTTTCTCAATTAAAACCTAATGTCATATGTTGTAGCAGTTGACATTCCCACCACCAGTGTACCACAACCTTTTTCATATAGTGCAGTCAGAGGCACCATTAACAAGAATGTGGTAAATCTATAAGTAGTCATGAAAATATGTCAAGATAAATTAAGTAATAAAAAATCTAATTATAAAACTATACATATATTTATACACATGTATAATAACTGTAAAAAAGAAAACCTCTGTTTTGATTAGCTAAAACTATACAGACATAAATAAACATAATATTGTCTATGCATAGGGAGAATACTGTTCAGAATAGAAGTAGAATTGCTGAGTAATGGAGTCAGTTTTATTTTGTACGGAGTCAGTTTTTTTGTATGGGGTCTGTTTTACTTTTTATATTTATTGCTTGATTCCGTTACTAAGAACCTATTACTTTGTAATTTAAAATCCAATGAATAGCCCTGGCCAGTTTGGCTCAGCAGTTAGAGTGTTGGTTCCCATCGGTCCCCATGGACCAAAGTGTCACAGGTTCAATTCCCAAGTCAATGGCACATACCTGGGTTGCAGGTTTGATCCCTGTTCCCAGTCAGGGTCATGCAACCAATCAATGTGTCTCTCTCACATCAATGTTTCTCTCTCTCTCCCCCTCCCTACCTTCCACTCTATCTAAAAAACTCAAAGGGAAAATATCCTTAGATGAGGATTAACAAAAAGAAAAGATATTTTTAAAAAATTTAATAAAGATCAAAATTGTGTGCGAAGCCTACATATCATTTTAGCTCAAAAAAGTCAAGAACACGTTCTTGTTTTTCTTTAATTTTACCTCCTATGTATAAGTTCCTAAACTATGTTTTGTTGGTTTTGCTTGTTCTTAAACTTTTTTTTCATCCTCACCCGAGGACATTTTTCTGTTTTTGTTCAGATAGAGTGGGAGGGAGGGAGGGAGGGAGGGAGGGGGGGAGAGAGAGAGAGAGAGAGAGAGAGAGAGAGAGAAACATTGATGTGAAAGGGACACATCGAGTGGCTGCCTCCTGCATGACCCCAATCAGGGCCAAGGATGAATTGCAACCGAGGTATGTGCCCTTGACTGGAATTAAATCTGCAACTCATTGGTCCGTGGGCCAACTCTCTAACAGCTGAACCAAACCGGCCAGGGCTTGTTCTTAAATTTTATATAAAAAGAAATTTTTCAAAAAAGATGAAGACAAAACGCTGGCTAGGTGGCTCGGTTGGAGAGTCATCCCATACACCAAAGGTTGTGGGTTCTATTCCCAGTCAGGGCATGTACCTAGCTTGAGGGTTTGATCCCTGGTTGGGGCATATAAGGAAGGCAAGTGATTGATGTTTTTTTCTCACATCAATGTTTCTCTCCCCCTCTTCCTCTCTCTCTAAAATCATTAAAAACATATCACCAGGTAAGCATAAAAAAAGATGAAGTAAAACAATCAACTTTTTAAGTGCATCTCAGACTATGGAAGAGCAACTTCTTAAAAGACTTTTTAAACTATAGTTCTAGAAACCAAATAGAAATCTCTTCTTTCCAAATCTTTAGATTTTACAATGAGTGACAAAAATTAAGTAGAGAACAGATGTAATTTCATGTCTGAAAATCTTTAAGAGAATAAAAACCAATAAAAATATCATTATAAAGTATATGATTAATTTTTAAAATATATTTTAATAGAATATAAATGACCAACTTACATCTATTGGTAGTGATTCATCTTCCTTTTCTGTTAATCGCATATAAGAACGATCTATAAACCAGAAGCATACCATTAAGGAAATTATAGCTAATTTTTCTTCCTTAAAATGCAAGCAAATCAATATATTAAAGAAGCAGCTGATTTATGTAATATACAAAGTAATGCTAATCCTGGACTCCTCAAAAAGCTCTGTCTTCTGATCTTGAACTATTTTACTTTTATCATGACCTGCTTTGTTACCTTATAACATGAGCTAAGAGTGAAAGGTGAGCCCTGGCCAGTGTGACTCAGTGGTTACAGTGTTGGCTCTCACATCGAAGGTTTGTAGGTTCAATTACCAGTCAAGGTCACGTGCCTGGGTTTCAGGTTAGATGCCCACCCCTGATCAGGGCATGTGTGGGAGGCAACCAATCAACGTGTCTCTCTCACACTTTCTCTCTCCCTTCCACTCTCTCTAAAAATCAATGGAAAAATATCCCTGGGTGAGGATTAACAACAACAAAAAAGAGTAAAAGGTGAGCGAGTATAAGGAAGAAACACCTACACATAATTTTTCTTTCATTACTACAGGAAAACTAGAATCCTCTGAAACGAACCATTACTTTCACTAACTGGTCAAATAAATCACATTCATTTTAAAATTAATAAGCCTACAGAAAATCTTCACTCTGAAATAGCACCACCATCACATCGAAATGTTTGGTATGGAAATGTTTTTCCTGACAGAATATGCTGGAGCAGCAGTGGAACAGGAAAAATTCCAGGATATCAATTTCTGCCTCTGTGATTAAATTATAATTTTGCTGCTGCCTTAGCCTTGGGAAGCAGCAAGATATGAAGGAAAAAAACAGGATTTGGAAGCTGATAAGCTTGGATCATAAAACCAGCTCTTCAACTTACTGTAAGCAAAGTTATCCCATTTAATGTAAGACACTGTCATGTAACATTTACCCCAATTTCAGAATGTTAAAATGGAGATGTGAGAGGGCGAATGTGCCTTAGACTCAAAGGAATACATTACCTATCTTTTCACTGCCTAAGTTTCTGCAACAGTAAAATAGGAATATTGTGAGGATTAAATGACATATATGATAGGCTCTCTGACATAACAAAGTTCATTATGGCAAAGATGAGCATGCCATGGCACTATAGTATGCTATCTGCTGCCACAATCTGACATGGCACAATTAGCCTCAAAGGTAAATATTAGTCTCTTTCCAATATGAGCATTAGAAAGAGGTCCCACGGCAGTGACAAATGTCACAAGGCATTTTCATTTCACTTGCAAACATAAAAACACAAAATTCAAATTCTAGATGAACCTTGCACAATTCCTATTTAATAATGTATGTGAACTAAAGAAGCCAAATTGTTGTGAGTAAATGTGTATTGACTCTTAAAAGAGAATTTGTTTAGAGACATTTCCAGAGTTTTTTATTACAGAGTTTATCATAAGAACGAATGTAAAAGAAAAATCAAACCAATACTAAAAATAGGTTTTGCCTAACTTCCTACCAACTGTTCCGGCTAGCTTTCTTCTTTGCCTGAAGTCTAACTGACTCTCTAAAATACTACCTTAAACTAGGCATTTCCTTATCTGTAAAACTAAAGGATTTGACTTCAATGATCTTGCTCTAGGGCCTTAAAATTTTACAGCCGAAGCCTGTGGTAGAAAATGCTGCAGTACTCCATAGAATCCTACCCCTGCCTAGGGCACTGCTTCTCAAAGGAATGTGCACACAAATCACCTGGGGATCTTACTGAAATGCAGATTTGGATTCAACAGCTCTGGAGTGGGCATTTCTAACAAGCTCTCAAGTGATTACAATCATGCTGGCCTATTGACCACACTTGAGAAACATGGCTCTAGAACTGCTCCCATCTCCTGCATCTTTACATACTTTTAGCATGGCATTTATCACTTTATTGTGATTGTTTCTCTTTTTAAAAAATGTTTTACTGCCCAGCTGGTGTGGCTCAGTGGTTGAGCTTCAACCTATGCACCAAGAGGTCGCTGGTTTGATTTACGGTCAGGGCACATGCCCAGGTCCAATCCCCGGGGGGGCCATGCATAAGGAGGCCAACAGATGTTCTCTCTCATCAATCTTTCTATCTCTCTCCCTCTCCCTTCCTCTCTCTCTCAAATCAATAAAGAAAAATAAATAAGTTGCCATATTAAAAAAAAAAAAAAAAAAGATTCTCCTAAGAGAGACTCTGGTTTAAAAAAAAAAGTGTTTTATTGATTTTCAGATAGAGAGGAAGGGGGAGTGAAAGAAAAAACATTGATGAGAGAGACACATAGATCAGTCGCCTCCTGCATGCTCCCTATTAGGGATTGAGTCCGAAACCTGGGCATGTACCCTGACCAGGAACCAGTGATCACTTGGTGCATGCTCAATCCATTGAGCCACACCAGCCAGGCAATTGTGATTATTTCTTGATCCATTTGTTTCTCCACTTGCCATTGAACTCCCTCAGGGCATCACTCACTGTACCTCTAGCACCTAAGCATAGTGCAATTTCAACCAATTCCCCAAGACTGGATTTCAAAAAAGAAGTGTAGCACATAGGCTGTAGACCAGCGGTTCTCAACCTGTGGGTCGCGACCCCTTTAGGGGTTGAAGGACCCTTTCACAGGGGTCGCCTAAGACCATCGAAAAACATATTTCCGATGGCGATTCACAACAGTTGCAAAATTACAGTTATGAAATAGCAACGAGATTAATTTTATGGTTGGGGGTCACCACAATACGAGGAACTGTATTAAAGAGTCTAGGCATTAGGAAGGTTGAGAACCACTGCTCTAGACTCAAACTCCTTGTCTTTAAATCCTGGACCCACCATTTCTCATCTCTGTACTTTTATGCAAGTTTCCTAGCTGTGTCTCAATTTCTTCATCTTTCAAAGATGATAATGACAATAATAGTTCCCTCACAGGGCTTTTGGTAGGACTAAATGATTTAATACAAGTGAGGTGCTTATTCATTTCCTTGCACATGGTAAGCACTTAATAATGTCAGCTATTATGATTATTATTATTATCATTAAAGCTTGGAGCACATAACAAAGGAGACTAGGAAAACATGACAACTAAATGTAACATGATACTCTGGATTGATTCCTAGAACCAAAAGAGGGCATTACTGGAAAAAGTGGTGAACTCCAAATAAAAGCTAGACTTCAGTTAATGGTAATATATCAACATCAGTTTCTTAGTTGTGACAATACACCATGGTAATGTAAGATGTTACCAATGGTGGAAACTGTGTGAGGGGTATACAGTCACTCTCTGTAGTATCTTTGCAATTTCTCTGTAAATCTAAAACTTCTAAATAAGAATTTATTTAAAAAATAAGTTGCATTTCCTTCAGACTATGTCACAATACATGTATGTAATCAGTAGTTAAAATAATTGGATCATTTAATTTATATATAATAAACAGAACAAAAAGCTTTAACTTGGAAAAATGGAGCTTTGAATGAATTCACATTGTATTTTCTACTTTATTCCTAAAGAAAGAAAGCAATTCTGCAAATAAAGGAATAAAGTTCAAGTGTGAATTCAGTTCCTTCACTCAACAGGTGTATTGAGTACCTACTGTGAAGAAAATTGTGCTAGGCACTGAGATTACAGCAATGAACACAAAACATGTATTGTCCCTGCCCTTGTGGGTTCTATAGGCTAGGACAGAGGTCAGCCAACTCTAGCTGTAAAGGGCCAGATAATAAATATTTTAGACTTTGCAAGCCATTCTGTTTCTATCACAAATTTAACTCTGCCCTTAGAAAGCAGCCAGACAATACCTAAATGAACGAGCGTGGCTGTGTGCCAACAAAACTTTATTGATGGACATTGGAACTTCAATTTTATATAACTGTCATGGATTATAAAATTATATTCTTTTGCTTTCCCCTCCAATAAATTAAAAATGCAAAAACATTCTTAGCCCACTATGAAAACAGGAGGGAGGCTGCATTTGGCCCATATGCCAGGGTTTGCTGACCCTTGGTCTAGAAGAGAAGGTGCCAAAACAGATCAGCTGTCTCAAGATTGCAGTGCATCCTCTGCTGGACTCTAAGTTTCTTCTTAATACAATTTTATCTGTATGATAAAGTACTACTACTTTTTTCCATTTAAATTTTCTATATCACTCTCTGTGACATGGCTGACCCAAGGCCACGGATTTAGGGCAAAGCAAGTTTTTAAGAACCTGTCCTCCAGACTCCTGGTCCAGTGCTCTTTTCCCTGTACTGTGGTCCCTAGCTGAAGCAAATGGTCACTTAACTTCTCAGTAATTGCCTGAACAGCCCAGAAGTGTCCAAGATGCTGTCTACCTAGTTGCCATGGGAACATGAGCATCCAAGGTCCTCAATCTGACACTTTGCCTGATCAGGCCCGCGCTGGATCTGACATCACTTGTCCTGGACTCCCTGATAAGACTCCCTCTTTGCCCACCATGCAGTTTGCCCGTCCTGCTCTGAGCCTTCTCCCAGACACCTCCTTCTAATGCTGCTTCAATCTTCCACTGGGGAGCGCCGCACCATTTCTCGTAGTTACCCCAAACTCCAAGGTCTCTAAAGACCATTCCTGGGACACTTCGTCTGACACTCCTTCTGTGGTGCGCCCACACACCGCCCCTGAAGTCCCGCACCAGAGCGGTCTGCGTGCCCCAGGCACTTACGCTGAGCAGCAGAAAAGGCCGCGTGTGCTAGGGCAAAGAGGCCAATGCCCACCAGCCCCTTCCACAGTGACAGTGCCATTCCGGATGAGCAGCAGCCCAAAGAAAGCAGCGAAGGGCAAGGAAGCAGTTCCCTCTTCCAACAGCGGGTGTTCAGGCAGCGCAGAAAGATGACGTCACTGAAACACTGGGCGCAAAGTGCCACACAGAGGTGGGAAAACCAAAGAGCTTCAGAAAGCGGAAACAGGAATGCTGGGAAGGAAGGGAAAGCAAGCGGGAAAAGGTCCGCGAGTGCCTGCAAGACAGCCAGCACTGTCCTGCCTCTCTGAGAGAGGTGGAGCTGATGTGAGGAGGGGGGAGTAAAAGAAGAGGCAAAAGGGGGCCAATGGGGAAGCGGAGAGGAAGGACTCCAGCAAATGAGCGCTGGGGCAAGGGGCGGGGTTTGTGGAGAGGCCAGGGTGGGGCAGAGGGGTTGGGGTCCTAGAGGATTTGGTGAAAGGCCTTTGGTGCTGGGTTTCTGTCACAGGCAGGGCATTTTTCGGTTTGTTTGTTTGTTGCTTTTCCCTCAAGCTGTGCCCTTTGTTTTGTGCTGGTTTTTCCTACGCATCAGCCCACTGGGGACTAGCACTATGGGAGGAGGCAAGAGTGGGAAAGGGAGGAGGAAGGTGGGGTGCAGCCAGGATATTTGGAGCCCATAACACGTGGCACACTCAGAAAGATGTTCAGCAAAGTTAGTTCCCTTCTGTTTACCTTCAAAAGGTCCTTAAAAAGTATTCCCACCCAAAGGGGTGTAGCACAGCAGGAGTGTTTTGTCTTGAAGAGAACGAGTTTACATTAAGGAGAAATGAAAGGGGGGTGAGGTATAAGGATGCTAACAAGGCAGGCCCATCTTGTCTCTGTCTCTAATAAAAATAAAATGCACTCTTCTTTCACGATTTTTCTTTGTCTTTATTCCCTAAAATGTAGACATTCAATAGTGAGTTTCTCCCATTGATCTCTTCACTGTGCTCTTCTTTGGCGAGCTCACCTATTCATTCCCACCGCTTTAGCCATAGGAGATATTACACTGATTCCAAATTGACGTCTCTATCTCAAATGTATCTCCCCAGCTCCAGGCCTGCATTTCTGACTACCTTGTTGGTCACTTATTTCTATCCTCTGGCACTTTGAACTTAATATGGCCAAAACCGAATTCATCGCCCCCCCCCCCAAACTCTGCACCAACTCCTCCAGTACCTCTGACTGGCACATGGTTGCAAACTGCGTATCACAAGGTAAATGCATAGTATTGTCACCATTCTTTCTCCTCAACCCAGTCAGAATTCTACCTTTTAGCTGCATTAGTGTAGCTTGAAGATATCTATCCTGACCACCTCTTTTAAATTTGCAATCTTCCTATTCCGGATCCCTATAGCCTGCTCAATTTTTTATCACCTAACATATTTTATGATTTACCCATTTATTATATTTGTTGTGTTGCTATTGTTTACTATCCCTCTTGCCCTACTGGAATGTAAGTTTCAAGAGGACAGTTTTTTGTCTTTGTCTAGAACATTATCTGTCACGTGGTAGGCATTCAAATAAATGTTTGCTAAATGAATTAATAAATTATAAGAAAGAATGAGGGAGGGATACAACCTTATTTGAAAAGATCTTTGTAGAGAGTCCTTCCATTACTTTGAATTGGGTTCAAAATCTCTGTGGACTTGTACACACTCTTAAATTTTGATAACCCTTTGATTGTTGATTAACATTTTCTGATATACTTGATCTTCCTCAAAGATGAAAAAAAACAAACAAAAACCTAGAAAATAAATGAATATCTCCAAGAATTATCAGGTTTCCTCATTGTTACCTATGTATTTTTTGTCCTAGATCTCATTTTCCAAGCCTTTAATTATGGTCATTATTTTTCTCTGGGAACTCTCCAATTTCTTCACCTCTAAGTCAAGATTTGACACAGTACTTGATCAATGTCAAGTACAGTATAATGTATTCCTTACAAATGCAGTTCTATTTATAAACCTCACAATCAGGGAGAACCAGGAAATAATTTCTCTGTACAGGACAGGCAAGTATTTCCTTCATCACCCCTGGGAGGTTGCAAGATAGTTGACAAAAAAAAAAAAAAAAAGAAAAAAAAACCCTCAAAGTTTTGTTTTGGCTTTGATAATGGTCAAATTGAAATTAGCTTTCTCAAGTACCCTATTAAATTGCCTTTTCTAATATTAATTTATCTGAAGCAGAACATTATTAGATTTCTTTTCTTTTTTTATCCTCACGCAAGGACATTTTTTTCATTTTTTGTTCAGATAGAGTGGGAGGGAGAGAGAGAGAGAGAGAGAGAGAGAGAGAGAGAGAGAGAGAGAGAGAAACATCGACTTGAAAGGGGCACATCGAGTGGTTGCCACCCGCACGACCCAACCAGGGCCGGGGACAAACTGCAACCGAGGTACATGCCCTTAGTGGAAACCAAACCTGGGTCTCTCTGTACCGCAGGTCGATACTCTAACTGCTGAGCCAAATCGGCCAGGGTAGAAGGTTTCTTAAAGGAGTTGAGATCTTGTTTCTTTCTTTTAAAAGGATGAGATTTTTTTAAAAAATAAAGAGCCTGAAAGGAATCTGATGTTTGTATAAGCTACTAATATATTATCCTAGTCTTCAGGGAAGCAACTTGTGTCCAGGTATTAAATTTTGTTTTCTCCATTACCCTCTTAAGATGCATTCCTCACTCTCTTCCTTTGAATCCCTTACCCATGTATTGAGGGCAAAAGAAACTAGGCTAGTTTTACATTTTCTAGAAATAAGTGGTTAACTCATATTCATGGAGTGAGTTTTAATTGGCTTATCTGTGGATTCTAACCTTAAGAAAAGCCAAGGTATTCATTGTCACAGTTACCACAGACCGTATCATTCTAATAAATACCTTGGTCTACTCATACATTGGTTGAAGTTAATCCCAAAGGCACAAGGTACATCTGGTGGCAGCACAGTTTACATGGGCCCTTAGAACAAAATCAAACCTCATGAAAAAGAGTATTTGAATTTCTAGGTGACTCCAGAAGTGCCTTTAGGTTTCCCAAAGAAGCAGTCATTTTTCATATGCACAGTGGATAAATGATGTGGATGTTATTAAAGGTAGGGATAATGATCTTTAAAGCATTTCCTACCCAGATGTTATTTATGAAGAGTCATCTCATTTCCCTATGATAGTCCATTGAATAGAAAAACCACTGCAATTCTAGAATTGTCAAGTTAATTAACTTTTTTACATGCCACCCAACCAGATGAGTAACTTCATACACCACTCATCCATGTCTCCATTTCCCACATATATTCTCCCTCATCTAGCACGCTCTGTCCTTTTGTAAGTGGTTAAAAATTCCACTTTCCCTAGGAATACATTCCTGACTATGATAGGTATCTATAAAAGATTCATATCTATCATGGATACTAAACTTTTTTTTCCAAGCTATTTATATTTATTACAACCTCCCTGGATAACAAATTCTAGAATTTTACTACTTTCTGGGCAAAGTAGAATTTTCAATATTTATATTGAAATTGCATTTAGTTAATATTTTTCTTTACAAAAGTGATGTGTGCGCAGTGTAAGAAATTCAAATGATGAAACAATCTGTTCCTCTTAAAGTATTAAGTGATGCTTTGGTATTTTGAGTTTTGAACCTTAGTAAACCAAACTGTGGTTAATTGATTTGTATCTTTAAGATTTGTTTGCTGGAAGGTCTATACTACTATGATTAAAAGCATATGCTCTAGAATCAGATTGGGCTTGAATCCTGGTTTCTCCTTTATGACATCTGAGGAATTGGACAAGTTACTTAACTTCGCTGTGCCTCAGTTTCCCCATCTGTAAAGTGGGGATAATAATAGCCGTTACCTGATAAAATCATTGTCAGGGTTGAGATGACACATATAAACTATTTAGAATAATCTCACACATAGTGAGCACTCAGTAAATGTTAACCATAATTATAATTGCTGTTGTTGCTGCTGTTGACTTTTCTAGCTGTTTTTCTTTATCCCTTTAGTCTTTCTTAAAACATCCATTGCTTCTTCACTTTATTTTAATTGCTCTCCTCTGGACCACTTCCAGATTTCCTAATATCTCTCCTGGGGTTACATTACCACATCTACACAAAGTATCCTAGGTTACTTGTCTGAGGTTAATATTATTCATTTTTAAAAAACTTGATACCAAAAATGAAACAGAACATCTCACTTGCTTTTGTTTTGCTTTGTTTTTAGCACATTGGGCTAGAGTGTTTAGGAAATAAACTGAAAACTCCAGCATAATTACGCTGGGTTCTGATAGTTGTGACCTAATCTTTGTTCTATTTCTTTAATTTAGGCATTTCCTATACTACTTCCCTTCTCTTTCTACTCTCCCTTCTTGGGAGAGGGTTGTTGGAGTAGATTCTGAAAGAGGTAGGAAGGAGGTGATGAAAAGCAGAGTACAGACTGAGGCTTAAGTTTCAGAAGGGAGTAGGAAACACCTCCTTACACTGAGGCTGGAGGAGAGGATGAAAGGATAGGCACTGGTGGTATATTTAAGTAGGTTGCAGGGTAAGGAAGGTGACAACATTTCTCTTGAGGATTTTGCTTTGCTCAGTTAAAAAGCCCTGACCAGTTTGGCTCAGTGGTTAGGGCATTGGCCTGTGGACCAAAGGGTCATGGGATCAATTCCCCGTCAAGGGCACATACCTGGGTTGCAGGTTCAATCCCTGGCTTCAGTCAGGGTCTCACATCAATGTTTCTCTCTCTCTCTCTCTCTCTCTCTCTCTCTCTCTCTCTCTCTCTCTCTTCCTCCCTCCCTTCCACTCTATCTAAAAATCAATTTAAAAGTATCCTTGAGTGAGGATTACTGCCCCCACCCAAACAAAGGAGGCAAGGTTTGCATTCCAGGTGACTTGTCTGTATGAAAATGGAAGTCATCCAGGATGATGGCAGGGCTGCAGTGGGGGGAGCTGGAGAAAAAGAAGAAGCGGTGAACCAGATGCCCAAGTCCTCCATGAATGTGTGGGAGTGAACAGAAAATCATTAGATGATGGCAAGAAGAACAGGAGAGGTTGTTCAAGCTTCACTGGAGATGTAATGAGCTCAGGAGAAAAATGAGGAGTGAGTAGAGT